AATTATGTAGATGTTTGAGGTTTTTTTTCCTCTTGTTAAATATCAACAATCAGAAGCTAAATAAATGTTTATGACATTTAATAATGTAAACAGAACCTTGATAAAATCAGAGACCTGTTTTTCTAATTTCACTTTGCATTCATGAAAAGTTAGAACGGAATAAACCCATAAGTCATTGTAATGAAAATTACTACATAGTAACCTGAGTGAGTGACTGGTTAAAACCATGTCAAGTATAAATAGTTGTATAAAGAGAAAGTGACTAATGCTGGGTTAGGTATGATAGTCCGAAACCTGCTCAGTAGACCTCAATTTTGGATTGGTCAAATGGATCCCCAGTGTCACCCAGCACGATGTAAGCTCCAAAAGATGGAGTCAATGCCTCTTCTAAAGTCACACAGAGAAGAGTGGGTGCCATTTATTTGGTAGCTATACCCACCTCTGTGTGACGCGTGACTAAACACAACCTCTCTGACTCAAGACATTTCTCCATCGGAGTAATGGTCATGCTATATAGGTCAAAAGCACACAGTCTTACTTTGGTGAATGCTGACCATTCTCTGTGGGGTACCTGCAAGGATTTCAGGCCTAGGGGAAATTGACCCAGCATGGACTCCCTTATCTTGCCCAGTCCGTTTGACCCCCTCCACACAAAAACCAAATGAAATTTGTAGGGGGTGGGGAGTGGAAGCTGTAGAAATAACCACCTTTCATAAGTGTTCAAACACCTCAGTGCTATTTTACTGAAACTAACTTTACACTTGCAACCTATGTCCTATCAATTGTCCTGGTTTCATGTATCTTGAATATTTTTAACTTTAAAACAAAATTGAATGAGAACAAAAACATGTCAAGAAAAAAAATCATACAAGTAAAGGCATTCAATGCTAGTATTTCTTTAACAATTATGAGAATAAAACCACAGAGCATTTTGGACAAATATATTGTATGGAAATTAATAAAAATGCTGACCAAGTATCAAACTATAGATACAATTTTAAGTGTGACAACATGCAATATTACTGACAGATAAATACAAAGCTGTATAAATGAATGTAAATAATTTGAAATGTAATGAGGTTTATCTGTGCTGTGGCGGGTAATTTGCTCCTACTTCACACCAACAAGGTCAAATGATTGGATCTCAGATGGAGTCTTTTGGTGTGGAGTTTATTGTACATACATTATATGGATTTTCTCTGGATATTATGATTTCCTCAGAACAGTCTGAACACATCTAAGTTAATTATACATTCTTGTTAAACTTTGGGTAAAAGGAAACTTCAAACCATATTTGGAGATTTGTATTTCCTATCTGGTACAATAATTTTGCTAGTGCGGAGGTAAGGTCACAATAGCTTATGTTTTTTTTTCCTTTTAAAAATCAATAAGGACTGGTTCAAATCCTGGTCTGGGGACCTTTCTGGGTAGAGTTTGCATGTTCTCTCCGTGCATGCGTGGGTTCTCTCCGGGTACTCCGGCTTCCTCCCACAGACCAAAAACATGACTGTTAGGTTAATTGATAACTCTAAATTGTCCCTAGGTGTGAGTGAGAGAGTGAATGGTTGTTTGTCTTGTTTGTCTCCATGTGTGTCCCTGTGATGGACTTGCGACCTGTCCAGGGTGTACCCCGCCCCTCGCACTGTGACTGCTGGATATGGGCACCAGTGACCCACGCAACCCTGAAAAGGAAGAAGCGTGTACAGAAAATGGATGGATGAAAAATCAATAATAGGTACTGCTCTAGGGCTGCCACGATTAATCGATGACTAATCGATTATTAAAATAATCGATGACTAATTTAATAATCGATTAATCGTTTTCTTTTTATTTGTTGTTCTTTACTTTGTTTTTCWCTCCAAACTGCTTTGACACCTTCCACTGCCACATCTGCCTTTCTGTACTTGACACACATGCACAGTAGTGGTAACTGGGGTAGGCCGTGGACGTCACAAGACATTATACAGACAGGCTCTGGTATCATGGCTACCTGGCAACGGAGCTCAAAAGTGTGGGATCATTTTAAGAAAATAAAAGAGAAACCTGTGCAATATCTGTAAGGCAGAACTTGCCTACTACAGCAATTATTTTTAGTTAGCATATAGCTAAAATCTAACCATGGTTATATAATAGCAGCTGCATTCTGGAGTGATAAGCTGAATGTTTTATATTCAATTAACGTATGATCCGATTAGCCGACTAATCGAATAAATAATCGGTGATTAATCGATTATTAAAATAATCGTTTGTGGCAGCCCTATACTGCTCATAAAAGTGTTTTCAAACACACTTAAATATTATATTTCAGACATTTCCTTCAAGGGGCCTATAACTCACAACATTACTTTGAGACTTAATTATTGGTTTGATGTGACAGGCCACGTATTTGTGAGATGATTAAGAGCTCATCTAACATTACTGAGCTCTTCTTTGACTTAAAGAGGCAATATCTAGCCTGGTTTAAACCAGACCCTGTCCTTCACTTTACTTCGTACAAGGGTCTGGACTTGATGCGTAGAGAATCAATTTCTTGCAGGAGGCGTGGCCTCTGCTGAAGCATGTGTTTTGTCGGTGTGAAGGAGGCTAAGCTAAGAAGCTAACCGGAAATCGCGTGTGCTGTAAACAACCCTACTGAGAGAAGAAATATACCGAGCCGAACGAGACGACTATAAATGAGAGCTGCTGCTTTGTCAGACAAATTTAATTTAATTTGGAAGCCTTATCAACGCAGACTGGCTTCATTCACTTCCTCCACTGCCGTATGCTAAAATAACTAGCAGACACTGCGCAGAACATCGACGTCATTCAAAACTCCACCTTCTGTTTGCTGATTGGCCCAGGTAAAATAAACTACAAGCAGACACTGCACAGAAAATTGATGTTCTCTTCTCTGATTGGTCCGGCTAAAAATCTGCCAGCGAAATCCATCTCAATGAGAGAAGTCCCAGACGGAGCAGTGAAGGGAAACTAGAATTGAGCGGAGCTGTGTAGGAAGGCAAGGGCCAGGCTAGGCAATATCATGTAAAATCAACTTTATATCATGTTATAACGTTATCCCCTTATCAAAAACATACACAAAGTATTGCTTTGACCCATTCATGCATGTTTGTGAAATCATGTACTGTCCTGAGACAGTCAATCAGGAGAGCAAAAACAGCTGGTTGAGTTGCCATTTTCCAAAAGATATATTATTTAATGTTGCTGCTTTTTATTATTATTACAACAAAATAGGCAGCAACGCTACAGGTTGTAAAAGGCATGAAGCTGTTGTGATGACATGCATAAATGGGCATGATGGAGGAGGTTCTTCAAGAGATAAAGGCCAATTTCATGGTGTTTAGAAACGACTATAATGCAAAGTCAAGTTTATTTTTTCATTTATACAAATTGACAGCATTTTCATAACAAATGAATGTAATATAGTTACTTTATTATGATATACAATTGAACTATATGCCATAGAAACACATATAACTGGCCCTTTAAAACTAAAACTTGTTCCAAACAACTAAGTAATATTTGGCCTTGTGACTAAAGTCTTGGTGAAAATGTCAATAAATAAAAAAACAGGCCTCTTGTGATAAACAACTTGTGTCATTTAACATTATTTGGCACTTATATTAGCCTCTGTTGGTCACGTTTATTGATGCAAACTGAAACAAATTTAAAGATTAAGAAGATAACCTTTGTAACCTCCAACATTTAAATCAACAGGATTTAAAACCAAATGAGTAATTGCGTCAAATGCTCTTGACATTTTACCTGAGGGCATCCTCAGGGTCAAACTGAGCAGGTCAGAGGAGTAAACACACCTTTACTGTATCCTACAGTAACCTGGGTGACATGCTAAAAGCTCAGCTAGATTGACTTACTCTAATTTAAGAAAAAAAAAACTTTTACATAAAATAAAAGAAAAAACAATAAGTAGGCAAAAGTCTCATAATGATAAAAGGTTTAAACTGGACAATTTATGAGTAGTCCTACAAACAATTTTATTTTAGCAACCCCAGAATCCAGAGTGACTTGTTCTAAGAAGATCTACCTTGACAAATATCACAGTACAATAAAACAGAAGTTAATCGACAGCTTTCTAATAACGCTAAATAACGCAAACGCTTAATAACACACTAGCTTGTTAATAGGTAGTAGCATAACCCAGCACAACACCTGCTATAGCTAACAGGCTATTCTAAAATTACATTCACAACCGCTAACCAGACGTAAACAAAAATAAGCAGGCAAACTCGTAGTAAACACATCATGTAAATCGATTATTTGAACTGATATTTAATTAATAATGAAACAGGGAAAATGAGCGAAGCCGCTGGGATCAGCCAGGTGTTCGCTCATACTCACCATGTTGATGCAGTGCTGCAGCTGCTAAAACAGACTCTACACCAGCAGCAACACAGAGCACCTCTAGTCGGAAATCAAGCGGCGAGGAGCACATAAGCCCTTCTTGTGATGGTGGAGCACAAAATGAAAAGTTTGCTTGTAAAAACTGTCACAGTATCGTCACTGAAAAGGGCTACATGGTCGGAAAAATCAATGGATTCACCCTCCTCTTACAAGTATTTTCAACTGCAATAGAGGTCAAATTGAAACTCTGGGTTAGTAGGTGTCCTCAGATTTGCCTGTATATAAAATAATAAACGGATAATACCATTCATTCAAACCTTCTTAAACTAGAAATATACATATAGATATGTGATTGTTGTTTTATAAAATGATAAATTCTAAATATAAGTCTATTTTATGCACAACATAATTTGTCTACTTTTATACAGGAGTAGACACGATGGCTGTAAGTATTCAGCAAGACCGCCTCAAAAGGGAAAGCACAGAATGCATGACAGATTCGTGGTTTCTAACAGAGTAGAAGCTTCTGTGTAGCAAATGTATAAAAAAAACAACAACATTTTTTTCGTAGACTCTTTTATTGTAAATTATTAACACGTGTTTCACCACTGCCTTCTTAATCGGTGTACAAATTGAGTACTGCGACACATTTAGGAAATGGGACTGGTTGCATATCAGATATTTTTTAACCTTACCTGTCCTTTGACAAATGTAGGCTAAGACAATTTGCTAAAATGTTGAGTAAAGTACAGCCACGTGTAACTGAAAACATTTTTTATACTCTGACATTCTTCACAAAGGCAACTCAGTAAACAGACATTATAAACACATCATAGCACACACCTGTATCTGAGAAAGCATTATCACATTCTGGGGCACTTTTTTTTCAGCATTTATTACTTTTTTAGAACATTTGATGGAGGACTGGTTTTTGACTTTAGGGCACATTTTTCATCCGTTTAGCAGTGTCTCCATATTTCTAAAGGCATATAAWTGCTTAGTAATAAAGTATGTAAATCTGCACAAATAACTCATTAGTCACTGAACTGTTTTAAACCTCTAATGCAGGGTCCTTTACATAAATAAATTCTACTGATAATGTGTTTTTATTGTTTATCAAGTTTATCCTCACATAGTGCTCATGGGGAAAATTATGCGCAGAAGAGTGCAATTATCTTATTGAGAATGTAAGGAATGTTGATAGAACAATTTGCATTCTGCATCAAATAGCAACGGCGACTGAATGCAGACTAGCTGATGTGTTAGTGTTTTCACCCACCTTACACATGCAGAACGGTGTGCTCATTAACACCTGGAAGCAAAGGCTTGTGATTTTTTTCTTTCATTCATTCATTTTTTYYTTYYTTTYYTTTTT